CCGGAGTCCATTGTATGTATGATCATTTCCAAAGTCGGACAATGGACGTGGTACTTTCCCAGACGTTTCGCTGGCATCGTAGAATGGCTAAGAATGGCGAGACTCACTGATGATGCCGGCAAAACGTCTGGGAAAGTACCACGTCCATGGTCCGACTTTTGAAATGATAATGCATACAATGGACTCCGGACTAGATGCTTTCCTCTAAGTCTTCCTACAAATATGACCAAGTTGCGAAAACAGGGCCAAACAGCTTCTATAAGTAGTTCTTATTCAACTTTCTACCCGCGTTCCTCACGTTCAACGAATTCCCTAACGCATTAATTTAAACAGCCTCCCTTATTGACCTTATAAGAGCAGACGTACCATAATCAGCAAACCTACTAGTTTGACCATTCTATCACATATCCGGTCGCTTCCATAAGTTCGGCCACTTCTGACCGTTAGGCCCAGTTTCCTTTACAAGCCTTTTTGTGTTCCCCAGTCTTTGTCGAATAGGCCGGCTTCTCTCACCAACATAAGGTCGACCACAGAAGCACACAACCTTGTAGCAGCCGGATATCGATAATGGGTCATATTTCGCTCTAAAAGATGGCATAACAGTATGAAGGCTTCTTTAAACACTATTTTTATCCCTCAATTACTCACTAATTCGAGTTTTTTCTTAGAAAGAAGGCATGACGACCAAATTAGTGCACAAGAAAAGGTCTCTGCCTGTCTATCTTTGACTAAATAGTATCCATCTGAAAATTCATTCCTCAGTAAAGATATATTATTCTCAATTGGGTTCAAATGATTATGATTTTCCAGGAATAAATTTGTCAGCCGTTCCAACTCCTTAGTCAAATGGTTGCTATCCGTTAGCCACCCATTAATAATCATTGGCTTAAAAATTCCAACCTTAGTCTTGTAACTATTTTGGTTTTCATACAACAATCTCAAAGCATATACTGTTTAAAGTGTAATCCACATTTTAGCCTACATCTCTGGCCATTCTTTAGCAAGGGAAATCTGTTCATAGGGGCTAGAGGATCAAAGCAAGAACTCTTCCTACTATTAATACTCGCCCTTTTAAAAATT